TCTATAATTAGATTTCACTAAGCCAGTAAAAATGTAAACTCCTGGATCACTATAACTGTCTTACCATGGAGTCACAGACAGATCTTGCCACGTAGACAAATTGGATTTAGAGATAAATAGTCACTTACACCAAAAATCACACCACATTCAGGTTGCTTCCACTCCCAAGAGATTAGTCACTTACCCCAGATCAAGTGGTACCCTATTTCTTACACCAAGGACAATGTCTGTAGTCAATCCTGTAATAAACGATCTAAAGGTTTATTAGGAAAAAGAAATGAGAGTTATTTACAGGTTAAAGCAAGCAACCAAACATACACACAAATGAGTTATATTCTAAATCCTAAGAGTGACAGAGTTGCAGTGATCTGTCAATTCAAACTATCTTTCAAGGCCAATCCAGGGGGCAGCTTCTGTGGATCTCTTGCCTCTGTTTGGTTTCTCTAGCCCTGTAAGAGTTCAAACAGCCAAAAAGATGGGTTTTTTTCCCCTGTGACTTTGTTTTATTTCCTTAATTCAGCATCCAAGTCCATAGGACGAGCTTCCTTGCACATACCATCTCCCCGGTGTGTTAGGGCCATTATGATGTTCCTTGATGGTCCATCTGATTTTGATAGTCCTTCTGGATGGGGAGGAGGTGTGAGGTTGATTTTCAATAACCCAGGGAAGAGTGACAATTTAAGGAGAGCTAGCAGATGAATTGGATTAGGAAATTTTGGAAAACAGGAGACCTTTTCTTATCTGAATCACCATACATTGCCTGATGCATCATTTATAGAAAAATTAGGCAATTAGCATTTATTGACTGATAGCAGAGTATACATTTAATTTTGTCTCATCCCAATAACAAAGCATGTGCCCACACTGAATGGTATGACCAAATCCTGACCTTGCTTGTTGGCCTCTGTATTAGAGGTCTAGCAAGGAGTTTGGGAGTCTTGCTATGCTAAACAGTAAACCATCCCACATAAAATACACCTTTTCCAGTACAAATAGTCAATCCTGTGACCTTGAAATGATCTTTTCATGAACATTTATCAATAAAATTCAAGAGCTTGAATGTTTGGATCATAAACAAAGGAAAATTTACACTAGGCTTTTTTGCCAAAAATCTGCTGTCACTAATTTTGCACCAGCGTGCAAGTGGCTTTGTACAGCTTCGTCTTGATCCCTCATTGCTGCACTTTCAACTTCCACCCTGACTAATTGTGGGTATGCATGCATCAGCACTGGCATCTGCATTTGGAATACCATTCTTCTCCTTAACACACCCACTGGCTTTCATTCTAAGTTATGAGAAAAATGAGCTAAATCTATAAACTGGGTTCCTGGAAAACATGTTATCAGAATGACTGATATTGGCAATGGAACACAATGGGGAAAAGTTTATTGCACAGCATAAGGGCCTAATATACAAAACTAGTAGTAATAGGTAGCTGACTGTAGAATCTAAAGTATAAAGAGAACACCACTCAGATTGGAGCAGAAGTGCAATACAGATAATGTTCTCATAATTTCACTCTCAATACAGCAATCACACGTGAAGATAGATTGAAATCTATCTTTAAAAGAATCAGGGGTTAGCTGGGTTTATAATTGTAGCACAACAATTCCCCATCTCTCATCCTCAATACATAGAGCAAGAGAAGATAAAACTAGATGAGAACTCAAAAAAGCATCAGTTAGGAGTAATGGTGACCTGCCACAGAGTTAGAGTGGCAGTCAAAGTTTACATAATACAGTACAATGTCAGCTCCCAAGAAAGCATCAGTGGATAGTAATAATTGAAATAATAGGAATTATAATTGATAGACATCAGTTTTGATGAGGTAAACCAAGATTATCACATACTGTGAGGAATAAAATAGTAGTAATGATCACAGACAAAACAAGTCAACTTCTAATCTCAGTTATACCGGTGTCAGATATTATCAGGAAAGTCTCTGGATTGTCCTCAGGCCCTGTCTTTGTGAATTTCACTGACATGGGCAGAACCAGTAGGCCCAGGCCTAAAGCAACCAAGGAGACCTGAAAGTTGCATCTAGATCTTTACCTGTTGAACCAGGCTTTTCTACTGTTCCTGCTATTGTGCCACTAAGTCCCGGACCAGCAGTTGCTGCTGGGCAGCCATTTGCTGCAGGAGTTGTTGCTGCTGCTGCTGAGTTGCCTGGTGCTGCTGCTGGTTCTCAGTCACTCATTTAAAAGACACTCTAGGTCCTTGTTGTCGGACCTACCAACCCACATCTCTAGTTTGAGAGTGTTTGACCAGCTGGTCAGTCAGTCCTTCCCCTTCTTTAGAGTTTGGAAGGGTTCCTGCTTTTTCCACAAATTGTGAGGGAGTCAGCTCACTACTTGGCACCTCCATGTGGCTGGGCATGGCATGGGAACTCTCTCTTCACTGGGGTCTGTGGCCACTGTCTGTTCTGCATCTGCGGTGGCCTGCCTCTTCTGGTGACTTGGCCCTCTAGCCAGGCCATTTCCAAATCTCTCCCCCTTCTGGAGTAGTCCATAAACAGAAAGCCAGGGGAATTAACACAAACAGAGTTAGTATGGGAGAGAGGGAAATACCTCCCTTTCAGGGCGTATCAGGATCAGGCCCTCCCTAAGTCAACAATGTAATACTGTATTGCAAAAAACAAAACAAAAACCCAAAACAAATGTCAATGTCTGGGATGTATTAGCTTTGTAACCCAGACATGACAAGAAATCTTGCACTCTATTCAGCACGGGTAAGGTCTCAACTGGAGTATTGTGTTTAGTTTCTGGGCACCATACTTCAGGAAAGATGTGGACAGTGTAGAGCAACAAAAATGATTAAAGGTCTAAAAAAGCATGATCTATGAGGGAAGATTGAAAAAAAACTGTGTTTGTTTACTCTGGAGAAGCGAAGTCTGAGGGGGGAACACAATAACATCTTCAAGTATATAGAAAGCTGTTATAAAGAGGAGGGTGATAAATAGGGGTCTACTTAAATTGCAGAGAAATCACATTTTTCACCAGTTGGTCACTGCATAAATAGCAAATTTTGTGGATGTGTTCATACAGTACATTTAAAACAAGTATTGTACTGTACTACTGTTATGTTTGTAAGTCACCCTGGTAAGAGAGTCTGCTAAATCAGGGGTTCTCAAACTTTTTTTGCTGAGACCCCCTTTGAAAATATTTCAGACTATGATGACTCCCTCCCACCCTTCCTTCTGTGCTGCTGCTGGCAGCGGTGCTGCTTTCAGAGCTGGCACCCGGCCAACAACTGCCATTCTCTGGTCACCCAGCTCTGAAGGCAGCGCAGAAGTAAGTGTGGCAATACCATGACCACTCTACAACAGCCAGATTTCATGGGGACACCAGATTTCATAGCTGTGAATTTGGTAGGACCCTAGTGATAAATTGTTCTCCTTAACCCCAGAGGACAGAACAAGAAGTAATGAGCTTAAACTGCAACAAGGGAGATTTAGGTTAGATATTAGGAAAAACTTTCTAACTGTAAGGGTAGCTAAGCACACGAACAAATTACCTAGGGAGGTTGTGGAATCTCCATCACTGGCAGTTTTTAAGAACAGGTTAGACAAACATCTGTCTGGGTCGGTCTAGGTAATACTTAGTCCTGCCTCGGTGCAGACTATATGACCTATTGAAGTCCCTTCCAGTTCTACATTTCTATGTTTCCACCTCAGGGAGGGAATTTCAGGCAGTGCTTGTCAGGGAAGTTCCTGTCTTCAATCAGTCCTTCCTAAGGAGCTGAGGGGTAAAGGTCTGTTCTCTTCCCTAGTCTGCCCTAAAGTGAGCTTTACCTCCTCCTACAGCCTGTACATGCCTGTGCATGCCTTGTGGTGACAGGGCTGGCTGCACCCAAAGCAGCTCATTAACCTCTTGTTGTCCAGTGTGGGGTTTGTATAGCACATTACATGGTGTAAAACAAAAATATAAATGAGAGGAGAGTTTGGCCCATTGGGCCTAATTCAGACCTAGTGCAAGTGTTTTCAAGTCTGCCTGTCATGATGGATCAGATCAGTGGTCCGCCTAATACAGTAACTTGTCTCCAGCAGTAGCCAGAATCAGATGTGTCAGAGCACACAGTCAAAGAATTCTAAGGGGTCGGTGAGACATGATTTTCCTACTTGGCCACTCTATCAGGCACTCTTACAAACTTGATCAGTACACTACCACCAGCAGAAGATGAAACAGAAGATAGGTTCTAGGTTTTTCATGACATTGCTTTAAAGTTATTAAGAGGAAGATGCAAGAGACTTAACACACCTAATTATTTTTGCCAAAATGGAGACAACCTCTAAACTATAGACCTATTAATAGATATGATGAGAAAGAAGGTTAAGAAATCCAATGTTCAAACACTGACCTAGAGGAGTAAATCAATCGCTAATTAACTGAACTTTATTGAACAGCAGATGTTCAGAAGTCCTTCCCGCTTACTACAAACTGAGGGTTTGATCCTGTAATCTCTATTTACAAGAGCCATCCCGTTAATTTCAACAAGACTGCTCATGTAAGAATTACTCATGTGAGTAAATTTGAAGAATCCAACTCCCAACAGAAAAAAAAAAGAGGAAATTATGGACCCTATCTTACATATTGCTGAATTCCCCCACCTCGCACTGAAATCAATGAGATGAGGGCAATCATTAACTTCCAGGAAACACTAACTTTTCTGAACTGGGCCATGTATTTTGAGATATTTGTTAAATATGATTTTAAATATTTCCTTTTGAAAGCAGAATCAATTTTTAAAATAGTGGTATTAAAATAACTAATGTTACTATACCAGAGGATTTCTGTATGATTTTTAATTTTATAAAGTTTAAAGATCCCAAAGTAATGTTAATTAGAAGGTCTTTCCTTTTTTCCTTTCTCTGTGAGCGGTTTGCAAGGCCAAACTGCTCAGCACATCCTGGGACAGAGAGTCTGTTCTCAGAAGAGATAAGACTTTGCAAAAACAACTGTTCCTTGGAACAGCACACAGAGACTCCCACCCTTCTCACATTCTTTATCTTGCTTGTTATGTATGTTATATGGTAAAGGGGTTAAGCAGTTCTGTTACACCGTAAGAGCTGTTAAAGTCAGAAGAGATATATGTTGAAATAAAGCTAGAAAATGCATGTGAATGGATGTTGTGTGTAAATAGAAAATGAAAGGTTAGGAGTGCCAGCCTAGGAGTTACCACTTCGGTATCGATTGGCTGACGAATGCGTTAAGTGGAAATAACCAGATGATCCCCAGAGGGCAGACTGAAATCCATCCAACAGCCTCAAGGATGGGAGAACGGAAGAACAAGATAACATCTGGCAGCACGGAGCCGTCAGGGATGTGTCATCTGCTGATTGATTCAGCAACAGCATGATGAAGCCACCTCCATAGACTGGCATAGGAATAAACTCCTATAAAAACAGACCCTAAAGACTAAGAACTTTGAGCCTGGTTCTACAACCACCCTCCAGGAGCATCAGATGCACATCTGACAAAGACTTGGCTCCACCCTCATGGCAAGGTTACCTGGCCCGTAACTTGGCATGAGCAACCTCTAGGCTGGTAACTATAACAACTTTGCAAAAGTGTATGTGTGTGGGAGTGAATGGGATATAGTAAATATGATTGTTTACTTGCTCTACCTTTTTTGTGTGAGTATATGGGATAGAATGTTTATGATTACTTGTTTACTGTGCCTCTTTTTGTATTCACAATAAGTGTGGCATTTTGTCTTATCCCCTTTTAAAAGATCCTGTTGGGTTTTATTTTATTGGTATAACACTAATACAAAAAGCCCTGTGCATTAGTTCATTAAAATTCTGTAAATATGTATAAATAAATTGTATCTGTCCTTCGTTTGGTGAACTTAACCCCATATAATGCATACCCTAAAATGTATGGTTTACTTTAATTTCTGGTAAACCATTAACATTACATCACTGTTAATACAGGTTACAAATAATGCTTTAAAATCTTACTGTTTTATTCATCCTATTTTTCTTTGCAACATAAGAATATATTTATAGGGGTAACTTAAAAATATACATGTACATATTATGTTACAAATATTTCCTTGAGATTAACTGGAATATTTTTACATTTAATTTGGTTAGGGAAACATTCCTAATGGTAACAGATAAATTACATGTAAATACATATGACACTAATCTTCTTTTCTGTGAAGATGCCTGGAGGACAAATATTAATGGACTTGACTTATTGTCATTGGGAATGTTACCATAGCCAACACACATCATATGAAGATAAAAATACATCTTCCGCATAAAGAGTATTCTCTTTATTTTAATTTTTTTTTTTTTGGTACGGTTATCTAAAAGCTATGTTATGCCTTTGCAGCAAAATACTGTGCCAAATGCCAAAATGAAACCTGGCTGTCTTCAGCCTAGACACATCAGCTTTATAAGCTACAAGAACCACCATTGTTGAGATGGGATCGTATAATTTTGCCCTCCAACAGACAATTATGCTTTTTCACAGAATATAAATGTATTTGAGGCAGGGAATATGCTTTTTTAAACACGTGGTGTACGTTGCTTTAGATTGGAATTTCTGTGTACACTACAGTAAAATCAGTTTTTTTGATAGATTTTAAAGTATATAATTGTGACTAATGTACAGGGCTGATGTATAGTTGAAAGATTGGAGGTTTTTTTCTAGAAAAATGCAATATAGTTTTACTGAGTCCATTTGTGGGGTTTTATTTTCTTTAGATTTTGAAATACTGGAATAAATTCACTTTAGCTTTTTAAAGAAATATTTTAGACTTACACTTTATCCATCTGCTAGACTTGTCATCAGTATGAGACTTTCCGTTCCCTTCTGCAATCCAGCACAGTAGCTAAACATTCAAAAGGGGAAGGGCATACAGAAGAGCACAGTGGCATTAAGTATTGTTAAGCTACTGATCACAGCTGGTTATGGTGGTAATTACTGAATATGGTCAACCTTACGAAAGAGTGGCCTTACTTTTAGCAGGTATAATATCCATAAAAGCTTCATTCTCACTTTGGAATCTAGAGATGAACTGAAGGCAGAAATCCAGTCACTTGCACTTCTAGCCTGGGTGCAAAAATACAAGAGCAATTTTTTCCTCAGCTCTTTTGAAAATATACAGTATTCTTTCTTTACCTCATCTTCCTTCCCTTTTATAAAACAAACTCAGTCAATGAGATTTAAAAATAAAGCTTTGTTTGTATTATTGAATAAGCTCAAACTTTTAATTAAAAAGTAGCAATACTACAGTAATTAATTATCTTATTTGATATTTTGTAGTGACTCTTCTTAGGTTAACCAATTTATTTGCTCAAATAAATTGGTTAGTCTCTAAGGTGCCACAAATATGCCTTTTCTTTTTGCGAATACAGACTAACACGGCTGCTACTCTGAAACCTCTTCTTATGTTGGAGCTCTGGCACTACAGAATTAATTACCAATACATAAGCTGAATAAGTTAGATCTGAAAACCCATGGACTGAAAACATCAATCTTAAAAAGAAACTAAACATGTTCAAGTATCTCTATCTTCTATCAGAGAGAGTTAGACTATTTTTCTGTTTGGTATAATGCGCTTTTGCTTCTGATCTGTATTTGGCATGGGTTCTCGCTTCCAAGATAAGTCCGAACAACTATTTTCTGTCTTTGCTCCTAAATGCTCAGAGGATGATCCCATGGAGGTTTGCTATTAAATGGATATTTTGACAGATATCTAAGGTAGTGAGCACTTGCCTGTTCCAGATGATATTTTGCAAGAATGGATTTGAATTTATTTGCGGGAATGCAGGATGGTTCTTTATTATGGATGTTAGGAAAAGATATGTGTTTAATCAGAGGATTCGACTGAGTATTTTTCAGTATCTACATAGTATATGAAATAAGAGATGAAGTATGTGAGCAGGCATTAGATGGGTTTCATATAACATGTTTACCATAGTGATATAAAACTTCATAACATAGTAAAAGGGAGATATACACTTAATATCAAACAAACACCATCTCACCATTTCTACCTGTATGCAATAGAATAATACTTGAGATTCTGGACAAGTGCTCCTTGCATGTATCTCTGAATTAATAAAGCTAAAAGATAAACCCATCACAGATATTACATTTTTGGGAGAAGGAGTAGGAAGAGAGAGAGAGAGACAGCAAGTGTGTGTGTGTGTGTGTGTGAGAGAGAGAGAGAGAGAGAGAGAGAGACTTATGCTCTCCCAATGTCTGTTTTAGCCACTACCCCACTCTGGCTTTGTTCAGGAGACTAGAATTTCGGCCTTTGTGTAATGTAAGCGGCATGGCTTCCTTTAAACTAAAGGATATTCCATACAACTACAAAAAACAATGTTGCAGTTAGGTTAATGAGAGTAAATGTTTTTTTGGATGAGAGTTCAATGATTATATCAACAGTAGTCATTTAATCATCTCTTATATGGTAAATCCAAAGCATGCAAATGCTAATAATGTCAGAAAATACGATTGCTTCAGAATATTGGGGAATGGAGAGTCCTGGTTAACTAGACAAGCATGATGTAGAAGGCTAAAAGACTGAAATTCTGCAATAAAGCAGGTGATGAGGTGATATGCTATGTATCTTTTAGCACTAACAGTTCATATACATTCACAGAACACACAGCTATAAAAACAAAACCTATGAAATGCACTATGAAATGCACTGTGGCCTAAGTTTGGCAAAGCACTTAAAACAAGCTTAAGTCCCACTGACTTCAAGCAACCCTATGTGCTCATCAATTGATATACTTAAGTTCTTTGCTGAATACTAACAGACTTAGGCATCTGCAAGTCACTTCATTAAGGTGGAAGAAATGATACATACCTCCTTTGTAAAATGTAAGATCTACAAGTGTAATGCACTATTCAACAGCTAGCTGTTAATACCATATATGTGTTTTGCTGTGTTGAGGCCTATATTAAGTATGACTAGGATAAGCAGAAAAGGTTTGTGTGAGCTCAGTTCTATGCATCTGAACAAAAGGTATTCAAACTAAGTGGTAACAAATTCTAGAGTATTAATTCATCAGCTAATGTAAATGCTTCATGGGTGTGCTGAAAGATGGACTAAGCCCTTTAATGTAATCAAAGTACATATACATTGGCTGACAAAAACCATGGTGCAGCGCCTTCATACTCATTATTTAGACTTAGCAGCTAATAACATTAAGTGTAATTATTATTTATATTTATAACCGTTTCAGTGTTCAGTTTATTTGTAAGAACTCATTTATCTTAGAGCTCACATCAGCTACGCTCAGAATAAACATACAAGTATTAAACAAACTACCACCAATGGAACAATTTGGGTAATGGTACTACTCAACATGAGTGAGGGTGGCAGAATTAAATCCTTGGGGCTCTCCAAGAATGAAGGCCAATATATCTGCTTTCTTGGTCACAAATCACAATCCAAAACCTACCCAACTCCTTTCCTTACCCCCATAATATTTCTCATTTTCTATTTGAGTCTAATACAAGATTTTCTTGAACATTTCTTTAAAAACAACAACAAGGAGTCCTTGTGGCTCTGAAACTTGAATTTCTAACAGAGCCATAACAACTCATTTCATTCCTGTAAAACTGAATGACTTAATCAAAAGCATAGTACTTTATTAAGAGCGGAGGATGTAGAGTGTTTTCAAGATGTTAGTAAGTAACTTTGCTAGTAGTAAATTGTAGTATGCCTCAGAGTATTAGGTTAATGAAATATGAAGACAGTTTAACTTCATAATAATCTTTTCATTCACATATACTTTTTATTGCCTGCTTTTCACTGTGCCATTCAGTTAAATTCTTGTGTGTGGGGTTGATTCTAATTGGGTTATTGGCATATAGAATTGGTTGAATGGTAGAATATACTAGTATTTAAATAATTTATTTGAACATCATTCACCGAACAATGTGATTGACAATTAGTAGCTGGCCTGCTCTAGTGGCATTTGAGCTGCTAAATGGATTTAACTATTTATGACATATTGGTCTTGCACCACTAACTGGCATCTGAATCTTCTCTTGTGCATCTGTGCCACAATTGTTATAACATTTGTTTTTACATGCTGAATATTCTAATTACAAATTTTCAATTTAAAAATTAACCCCGTAAGTAATGCTTTTGCAGCCATGAGTTGGCAGCTGACAGAGCCAATATTCTATTTCCACAAGCAAATGGACATGAAATCAGAATGTATGGTAAATCGTTGAAAGGTATGTGGATGAGGTACTTGCACACTTATGGTTGAACACAAAAATGATCAAGGCCAGGTTTCTTTTATATGCAGTGTTGTAATCACTCTTTTTTGCCTAAATGGAGCATCCTGCGTAGGGCAACTCCACTTGGACACTGGTTCCAAATGACTATCTGATCATCCAGCTGAAGAGTTGCTCGGAGATGAACCTCTAACACAAAGAGGGTTTTACTGGGTAAAATCCTGGGAAATCATAGGAGTTTTGCCACTGACTTCAATAAGCCCATGATTTCACCCAGTGTGTGTATTTTGAAGCTGAGTTAAGACATACAGTCACGCACTAGCTAAGAA